AAGCCGGACTATTGTGTGTGAATGACGGCCGGCTTATTCAGGTTACACAGGCGGCCACCTTCGCCCTCTGGTCTGCCCCATTCACTGACTCAATCACTACCCCCCCCCTAGCCTTGTTGGTGACTAGGTCACGCCTTCCTAATGACAGTTTGCATTTCAGACTGTTCTACAGCTGTCATTATTTACAGCCTTTTGGGGAAGTTCCCCAAGCCCAGGGATTAATCCCTAGATCTGGAATTAATGTTAGAGGGTGGTGGGTGGAGGCCTGCCTGTGGGTGGTGGGTGGAGAACTGCTTGTGGGTGGTGGGTGGAGGCCTGCTTGTGGGTTGTGGGTGGAGAGCTGCCTGTGGGTGGTGGGTGGAGGCCTGCCTGTGGGTGGTGGGTGGAGGCCTGCCTGTGGGTGGTGGGTGGAGACCTGCCTGTGGGTGGTGGGTGGAGGCCTGCCTGTGGGTGGTGGGTGGAGGCCTGCCTGTGGGTGGTGGGTGGAGACCTGCCTGTGGGTGGTGGGTGGAGGCCTGCCTGTGGGTGGTGGGTGGAGAACTGCTTGTGGGTGGTGGGTGGAGGCCTGCTTGTGGGTTGTGGGTGGAGAGCTGCCTGTGGGTGGTGGGTGGAGGCCTGCCTGTGGGTGGTGGGTGGAGGCCTGCCTGTGGGTGGTGGGTGGAGACCTGCCTGTGGGTGGTGGGTGGAGACCTGCCTGTGGGTGGTGGGTGGAGACCTGCCTGTGGGTTGTGGGTGGAGAGCTGCCTGTGGGTGGTGGGTGGAGGCCTGCCTGTGGGTGGTGGGTGGAGGCCTGCCTGTGGGTGGTGGGTGGAGACCTGCCTGTGGGTGGTGGGTGGAGACCTGCCTGTGGGTGGTGGGTGGAGACCTGCCTGTGGGTTGTGGGTGGAGAGCTGCCTGTGGGTGGTGGGTGGAGGCCTGCCTGTGGGTGGTGGGTGGAGGCCTGCCTGTGGGTGGTGGGTGGAGAGCTGCCTGTGGGTGGTGGGTGGAGGCCTGCCTGTGAGTGGTGGGTGGAGGCCTGCCTGTGGGTGGTGGGTGGAGACAGGGGAGACTGTGTGGGTGTGGTGGCGCCTTCAGTACTGGCGGATGTTGCGTGGTGGAAGGAATGTTGTCTCACAAAGCCTAAGTGGAGTAAGACGTTGCTTAAGATCGTTTTATGTGAGTCAGAGCTGGGACATGTAGGTGGGTGTGGTGGCGCTGGGAAGGCTCTGTAACAACTAACATGTACCTCCTGCTGCTGGTACTGGTACTGCTGCTGCTGCTGCTAGTACTGGTACTGCTGACCTCTACCATGTATAAGAGGGCAGTGGTATCAGACACCATGTACTAGAGGCTATAGTGGTATGAGAGGGGGGGGAAGTGGTGAGGGAGGGGGTAGAGATCATCAACAAGGCCCCAGGTGGCTGACACTGCCCCCCCCCCCTGAACCCTGCCCCCCTGCCCATCCCCCTCTATACCCTACCTATAACTATTATCTCGTCACAACCATTCACAAAAATGGTGAGCCTTGACACACGAGCTGTCACTTGTCAGGTGGCATTACCATGACCCAGAAAATGGCTTTAAGGACGGTACTCGTGCTTCCAGACGCCTGGAAACTGAACTGTGTCATCCAATCTGCATGTGGCTTTTGACCCTGTAATTTCATATCGGATAGAGACACAAAAAAAATACCTTGGTTCCATATGATTTACAGAGCAATGTGTTCCAAGTGTCGGAATCATTACGTTCCAAATTCCTATATAAAGAGCGAGAAAGTGGTGCTTAATCGCGGATAGGTGTGGGAACCGGGCGGGTATCCTTTAATTCATGCTATCTTTTTTTTTTTTTTTTATGCGTATCTGTGCGTGCGCGAGGCGTGCGTGCACGCAGGCGGTCGAGAGCGGAGTGGCGTCTCCTAATATTAGTTTAACCGCCCAGCATAGCCACGCCCACCGCCGCGGCAACCCACCAATCGCGAGGCCGGACTCGGGTGCCTGACCGCGCCGCCGCCTCGGGTCTGCTGCCCACCTGGTCACCGCGCCCTCAGTGCCAGGCGACGCCCACCCACACGCGGTGTCCTGCTGCCGCTCCTCCTCCCCCACGCTCTCGCCTCAAGCAGTGACTGGCGCCCGTGAATCACCCAGCAATTAAACCCGGGGGTGTTTTGGCGTTCAAAATGTATTATCTTTAAATTTATTCCTGCCGTCCCTACTTCCCCCCCACAACGACCTCTTCCCCCACCTCCCCACGACGTCCCCCCCGCCCCATACGGCTCCTGCTCGCCCCCATCAAGCAAGACAGGAGTTGGTGGCGGCATTCAAGGAACACACTGGAGAAGAAAGCTTCTCAAGAGAGAGATGTTTGTACAGCTTGAAGAATGTTTGCTCAAGGGGGAGGGAGTTGAGCACGGCACTTTCCCAGGCGGAGAGAATTTGGTGTAGGTCTTAAGATCCCCCACCCCCTCTCCCCCAAGAGTCCTCACTGGGGGCTCGAACCCCAGTAGTGCAGGAACCGACGCTTCTTGTTGTTGTTGTTTAAGATTCAGCTACTGGGAACTAAAAGTTGCAAGTAGCACGGGCTATGGTGAGCCCGTGATGGACTTACCTGGCACAGGAGCGGGGCTGAAACTTACGACGCGCTCGTAAGTGGTTATCTAGAGGTGATTTCGGGGCTTAGCGTCCCCGCGGCCCGGTCCTCGACCAGGCCTCCTTTTTGTTACACCCCCCCCCCCAGGAAGCAGCCCGTAGCAGCTGTCTAACTCCCAGGTACCTATTTACTGCTAGGTGAACAGGGACATCAGGGTGAAAGAAACTCTGCCTATTTGTTTCCGCCTGCACCGGGGATCGAACCCGGTGGAGGACAAAGTTCTGCAGAGGCATGACCACCACTCAAGGCTAAGTGGACCAGACTTATTTCAAAGGGGTCTGACAGCTGAGTGGACAGCGCTTGGGATTCGTAGTCTCGAGGTTCAGGGTTCGATCCCCAGTGGAGACGGAAACCAATGGGCAGAGTTTCTTTTTTCACCCTGATGCCCTTGTTCACCTAGCAGTAAATAGGTACATGGGAGTTAGGCAGCTGCTACGTGCTGCTTCCTGGGGTGGGGAGGGGAGATGTAACAAAAAGGAAACCTGGTCGAAGACCGGGCCGCGGGGACACTAAAGCCCCGAAATCATCTCAAGATAACCTCAAGATAACCAGGTTGGACCCGTCTATTAACGTCCAAACAATCAGCCCTAATCTCAGGATAACACGGTTTAAGCTTTTATAAAAAAATACATGACCTCCCCCCCCCAATCCCCATCTCTTCAGCGCGGGCCACGGCCGGATGAAAGTTTAATAAATACGGACTCATCTCCGGATAAAACGATCATAGGAGCCGCCTCGAGAAAGCCGTAGGTTATAGCAGCGACTCGACACGAAAGTACCGACAGTCCCGCTCCTGTGCCAGGTAAGTCCACTACGGGATCACCATAGCCCGTGCTACTTGTAACTTTTTGTTCCCAGTAGCTGAATCTATAACAACAACGACGACGAAAGTACTCTTTACCCTCTCCCATGTGCTCCTTACCTCCTCCTCGGGGGGGGGGGGAGGAAGAGGAGGAGGAAGAAGAGGAAGAGAAGGAAGAAGAGCAGGAGGAAGAAGAGCAGGAGGAAGAAGAGCAGGAGGAGGAAGAAGAGGAAGAGAAGGAAGAAGAGCAGGAGGAAGAAGAGCAGGAGGAGGAAGAAGAGGAAGAGAAGGAAGAAGAGCAGGAGGAAGAAGAGCAGGAGGAGGAAGAAGAGGAAGAGGAGGAAAAAGAGTAGGAGGAGGAAGAAGAGGAGGAGGAGGAGGAGTAACACAGGGAAGAATAGTGCCTACCTAACAGTGTCTACCTGGCGGTGAGGTGTAGACCCACCAGCAGGGCCCGCTAGCTAGCCTTGCGGAGGTCGGGTGTGGGCGGGGGAGGTGTAGGATACTTGTGGAAGACATGTAGGCGTGAGGTTGGTGGGGGGGGGGGCAGGGGTCGTATTACCCCCGTCATCTCACCTCAGGTGGATGCTGTTCCTTGCGGTCCCTGAAATCTGAGTTGTCACAGCCCCGCCGGTCCCGCTGAACAAGTCACCTCGTGTGACTCTCAACAAGTCACCTCGTGTGACTCTCAACAAGTCACAAGAGGTTTAACACCTTGACTTGACTATTCGCTAACGCTCAACCAGCAGTGATTGGTGCACTGGTTGTTAACACATTGGTAGGTTAATGTGTGTTTCAGCGACCATCTCACATCATGCAGGTCGGCGTTCGATCCCTGATGGTCCAAGTGGTTGGGCACCAATCCTTCCCCCCCCCCCAGCCGTTCTCACATCCCTTCCATGTGACCCGTATATATGGTCCAACTGGCTTAGCGCTTACTCCTCATAATGCTTCCTCCGGGTGGACCGAGACGTTGGTGGTAATACACGCAGGAGTACTGTGTGTGTGTGTACTCACCTAGTTGTGCTTGCGGGGGTTGAGCTTTGGCTCTTTGGTCCCGCCTCAACTGTCAATCAACTGGTGTACGGGTTCCTGAGCCTATTGGGCTCTATCATATCTACATTTAAAGCTGTGTATGAAGTCAGCCTCCACCACATCACTGCCTAATGCATTCCATTTATTAACTACTCTGACACTGAAAAAGTTCTTTCTAACGTCCCTGTGGCTCATTTGGGTACTCAGTTTCCACCTGTGTCCCCATGTTCGTGGTTGTGGGGTGGAGTGGGGGTTGTGGGGTGGAGTGGGGATCGTGGGGCGGAGTGGGGGTAGTGTTGGAGGGTCGGCAGCACCCCCCCCCCCCCCCCCTCCACATCTAGCACGTTCCTCACCCCGCCGTAAACATCACTCCTCACAAATGAGAAAACGTGACAATTTTACTCCAAAGGTTATGTGAGGAAGGGGGAAGGGGGGGGTGGGTGGCGGTGAGGGAGGGGGCAGGTGGTGGGGGTGAGGGAGGGGGGTAGGTGGTGGGGGAGAATTTGACGTAGGTGGCACTCTTGGCACCTTGTGTCACCTAGTCGAAGGATGTTATGGGCCGTCGGATGGGGTCCCGGGGCCGTCGGGTGGAGTCCCGAGGCGTCGGATGGGGTCCCGAGCCGTCGGGTGGGGTCCCGGGCCGTCGGATGGGGTCCCGGGCCGTCGGGTGGGGTTCCGGGGCTGTCGGATGGGGTCCCGGGGCCGTCGGATGAGGTCCCGGGGCCGTCGGATGGGGTCCCGGGGCCGTCGGATGGGGTCCCGGACCGTCGGGTGGGGTCTCGGGGCCGTCGGGTGGGGTCTCGGGGCCGTCGGGTGGGGTCCCGGACCGTCGGGTGGGGTCTCGGGCCGTCGGGTGGGGTCCCGGGGCCGTCGGGTGGGGTCTCGGGGCCGTCGGGTGGGGTCCCGGACCGTCGGGTGGGGTCCCGGGGCCGTCGGGTGGGGTCTCGGGGCCGTCGGGTGGGGTCCCGGGGCCGTCGGGTGGGGTCCCGGACCGTCGGGTGGGGTCCCGGGGCCGTCGGGTGGGGTCTCGGGGCCGTCGGGTGGGGTCCCGGACCGTCGGGTGGGGTCCCGGGGCCGTCGGGTGGGGTCTCGGGGCCGTCGGGTGGGGTCCCGGACCGTCGGGTGGGGTCTCGGGGCCGTCGGGTGGGGTCCCGGACCGACCGTCGGGTGGGGTCCCGGGCCGTCGGGTGGGGTCCCGGGGCCGTCGGGTGGGGTCCCGGGGCCGTCGGGTGGGGTCCCGGGGCCGTCGGATGGGGTCCCGGGCCGTCGGGTGGGGTCTCGGGGCCGTCGGGTGGGGTCCCGGACCGTCGGGTGGGGTCTCGGACCGTCGGGTGGGGTCTCGGGGCCGTCGGGTGGGGTCCCGGGGCCGTCGGATGGGGTCCTGGACCATCGGGTGGCGTCCTGGACCGTCGGGTGGGGTCCTGGGGCGTCGGATGGGGTCCTGGACCGTCGGATGGGGTCCTCAGTTCTGACTGACCCTCACCACGGGGCTTCTAGCTGCCGTTAGCAGGCTGAGAGCTTTCCCTTCCCTCAGCTCATAATAACCCTTACTGTACTTGTATTCCCAATGACTACAGGATTAATGGTTGGTGCCCAGTCAATCATCCTCCCGTGCCGGGGCTCGTGAGGCGAGTGCGTCACCGCTGCGCCACCAGACACCCTGGAGTAAACATAGGCCTATAGACCTAGGGGGAATATTACAAGATAAGAATCCAGACAAGGTCTATCCAGACTAGGACTATCCAGACAAGGTCTATTCCCGCCAAACACACACCAAAACTACGACGTTGGTACAACGTTCGAACAAGTTTTAACACCTCCTAACCAGTTATAACAACCAATATAGCAAGTTGTAACAATGTTCTAATACGTCATAAACACGTTAAGTCAAGATGTAACAACTTTATTACAAGTTGTAACAAGCGGAAAATAGAGACAGTTTCGGTTTGTGTTTCCAGGGTGATTCAGACTAGGACTATCCTGGCTAAGTTATTGTTATGTCACTGACATTCCTCATCACCAGTTTCACTCTGCAAGCTGCATGGGGTTCCGGCTGACGAGTGGGGGGGGAGGGGGGGGGGTGTTTCTGGCGCAGGAGGGGTCCAAGACAATGGGCCCGGGGGCCCCCATAACCGGGAATAGTCTTACAGTTTAGTGCAATTTTGTGGGGAGCGCCGGGCCCTGGGTTATTGTTCCAAGTGCGTCTCATAGCTCGTGTTTTGTTGCACTTAGTGAAAGTTCCGCGGCGTCATTTCCACTGCAATGATGAGTTGAGTCTTAATTAACTATTTCATCAACTAATTCAATATAATTGGCCAGTTCCGGAGCCTACTAGAAAGGGAGCCGGTCGGCCGAGCGGACAGCACGCTGGACTTGTGATCCTGTGGTCCCGGGTTCAATCCCGGGCGCCGGCGAGAAACAATGGGCAGAGTTTGTTTCATCCTATGCCCCTGTTACCTAGCAGCAAAATAGGTACCTGGGTGTTAGTCAGCTGTCACGGGCTGCTTCCTGAGGGTGGAGGCCTGGTCGAGGACCGGGCCGCGGGGACACTAAAGCCCTGAAATCATCTCAAAATATACTATAATTGAACAGTTCAAATTGGGTTAATTTTTTTTTTTGTCATACTGGATGCTTTTGTTACATTTGGAATGGTGATAGACACCATTCTAGAGACAGAATAGAATGGCTCTATCTTATAGAATGGCTCTATCTTTATGTATCTTAGATAGTTTGTACTTGGAATTCTAAGAAACAAATTTATTATGTGCAATGGTTCGATATACTACATATAAGTTATGTCTTTCATAACTGGAGTGATGCTTGAAATAGAGATTTGTTAAGTAGTAAGACTGTCACTTGGTTGAGATGAGTCGATGGTTTAGACATAGTTTGTTAATTGTGCTTGGGGTAAATTATGAGGAGAAAGCGCTAAGCCAGGACGACACTATAGCACTGATCATAGTCAAGAGGGTGGCACGGGCTTGAATAGCCCGGAGGTGGTACAGATGTTTGGAGTGAATGTTGTTTTTTGGTGGTGTGACATCTTGAAGTGTCTCTAGGACTGTGAAGTTTATAACTTTTTAGACACTCAACCCACCAGGGGACTCGAACACTGGCCATCAAGGTGGCAGGTACGCACTTGTATCCACTACACCACTATAGTCTGTGAGAACAAGCTAAAATGTGTCTTCCTTGTTTTTAAGGTTTGCTGAGATGGGGTGTGACCATCCCCCCCCCTCCTTGTACTCACCTAATTGTACTCGCCTAATTGTGCTTGCGGGGGTTGAGCTCTGGCTCTTTGGTCCCGCCTCTCAACCGTCAATCAACAGGTGTACAGGTTCCTGAGCCTAGTGGGCTCTATCTATCTAGTGTTAATGTGTGCAGGACTGTGTTCCAACCCATCCTTCCCTCTTCTATCCCTCGCATCCCTCTCCGTGGTGGTGTCAAGATGTGCAGCAGTGGAGAGAGAGGAGCAGACTTTTCCAGCAGTGGTCGGGCAGGTGCCGCTGGTGTTGAGTTACTGCTGGTGGTGGTGGTGGTGGTGTAGGGTGCTGGTCTACCCTCCCTGGCTACCAGTCCTGGCTACCTATATAGACGTATCTGGCAGCTTTCTCAAAACCCAAATGCCGAGTACACAATATGTCAACTTTGTGAAAGAGAAAACATGCACTCTCTTGAACATTATATTATAGAATGTCCCATACTGACTGACTTTCGCCCTCCTGGTATGCTGAACTCTGTAGTTACTATATGAGTACTGGAACACTTGATGATATATTGGACTTGTATCCAAGATTGACCATGTAATATATCAATCATACAATGTATATATATGATGTAACTATATAACCTGAGCTTGTAAAAGCACCTTCAGTGATTAAGTGCTTAATTGCACACTAGTTTCTTTATCAGCTATCTCACCCTGTCAGAGTAAATGAGACAAATGTATGTGAATGCATGTGTGTGTGTGTATATATGTATGTATATGTGTGTGTGTGTGCATGTATATGTATGGGTATAAAGTATATATGGAAGCTGATCAGAATTACATTTCACCTTTGTAAATGTACATTAATGACACTATGTAAAAGACACGTCGAACACTTTATGTAGGGCATACGTAAATCTGTGTATCTATGTATTTACGTATGTAGGTTAGCTTAGCATTTTAAAAGCACCGAATCACCTTCTGTGGTTGAGTGTTCAATAAACCCTTGAACTATATGTTTAACACATCTCTAACCCTGTCCATGGAGGACAGAAGAAAATGTATATATGCTGGTTAGCATTGTAAATGTCTGGCCACGTCTGTGGTAGAAAATAATAATAAAAAAAAAAAAAAATCAAATAAGAGGACTCAAAACAGAAAACGGGACAGTACGTCAATTTCGGGAGCCGCGAGCATTTTGTAGTACGACAGTTTTTGGACTTAGAACGTCGCATTTTGACGTATATCTATTAGGAGGACAGGATGGCTGGTGGTGCAGGGGTAGGACACACCTCGCGGCTGTCTTGGTATGGGTTCGGGTTCCGGGCGTCGACGATCCTTAACTGTTCGCCTCTGTTCACTCAGCAGTAATTGGCAACTTGGAAGTAAAAAAAAAAGGAGATTCGCGGGTCGTGTTGCAGGGGAAGACTATAGTCAGGTAAGGCTTAGAAGCACGGCAGACCTGACTGTAGTGGTTGGGAGGTGGCATGTTGCGCCACTTAACCTGTCCTACATGATGGTGTGGATGGCACCAGGTGGGAGGTGACCCCAAGGTGACCCCAGGGTGACCCCAGGGTGAGTGAACGCCCCCTGGCCGCTCCTCAAAGGGAGAGGGGGAGGGAAAAAATGTGGGGGGGGGGGATGTGCTTCCTTTGGGGGTGGGAAGGAAATTGAGTTTGTCCTATGGTGGGGAGGGGGGTGAGTGGGGTGACCCCGCCCTCGGGGGTCAAAGGTTGTCATGCCCTCTGGCGTATTGAGATCCGCCCCCGCCACCCTCACTCTCCAGCCCGTCCTCCAAAAATGGGGTGGTAAATGTAAGAAGACAAATAAGTGCAATTATGTACTATTCATAGCAGTTAGGAATTGTACTTATTTTCACTTAGTATTAAATCGTACTGTCAAATATATTGTGAATATTTGAGTTTACCTGAAAAACTGGATAGAAAACCACGACCTCACCTAACCGTCTTAGTTTTTGAAGATAATAATTTTATTGCTTCTTAATTACAATTAGTACTTAACTTATAGCTATATTAATATTACAGTTTTATAAAACTAATAAAACAAAACTAAACTATATCAATAAATTGTAAAGTAACTCAGAATGTTTTAAAATTTTGTATAAAATCTATATTGTTTAATAAACCTGAAAAAAAATTCTTGATATTTAAAACTTATGTGGTTTAAATTGAAATTGAAAAATTCATCCTAAAATTCTGAGTGTCTTAACAGAAAACGAGGAGCATTAAATCAGGGGGAGGGAGTTGGGTAAATGTAACAGCACCATAAGTGCTATTATGAACTGTTTATGACAGTAAGAAATTGTACTTATTATACTTAGTATTAAATCGTACTGTCAATTCGGAGGATGGGTGTGGTCATCACTCTCACCTCACTCTCCCCTCACGCCTCACTCTCCCCTCACTCCCCTCAATCTCACCTCACTCTCACCTCACGCCTCACTCTCACCTCACTTCCCTCACTCTCACCTCACTCTCACCTCACGCCTCACTCTCACCTCACTCCCCTCAATCTCACCTCACTTCCCTCACTTTCACCTCACTCTCACCTCACGCCTCACTCTCCCCTCACTCTCCCCTCACTTCCCTCACTTTCACCTCACTCTCACCTCACGCCCCTCACGCCTGAAGGAGGAGGGACGTGAGGGAGGAGCCCCAGCCACAACAAACAAACATTGTTCCTCATACCTCCCCCCTCCCCCCCCTCCTTGAGTACATTCCACTAAATTGGACTTAAGATTGGATTATCACCTTTCAAGGTGGATGGGTGTGGCAGAGGGACAGGATCCGGCGCCCTGAGAGTCTGTCCTTTATCCTCTGTTGGTGGTGGTGTGGGTGGCTGCCTTCCCTGTTGTCTGCTAGTGGTGTGGCTGGCTGCCTTCCCTGTTGTCTGCTAGTGGTGTGGCTGGCAGCCTTCCCTGTTGTCTGCTAGTGGTGTGGGTGGCTGCCTTCCCTGTTGTCTGCTAGTGGTGTGGCTGGCTGCCTTCCCTGTTGTCTGCTAGTGGTGTGGCTGGCTGCCTTCCCTGTTGTCTGCTAGTGGTGTGGCTGGCTGCCTTCCCTGTTGTCTGCTAGTGGTGTGGCTGGCTGCCTTCCCTGTTGTCTGCTAGTGGTGTGGCTGGCTGCCTTCCCTGTTGTCTGCTAGTGGTGTGGCTGGCAGCCTTC